TAAAATATTTTAATACAATTACTTACAATGGGTTCACACATGCCGGACAGTACTGCCATGCAATTAATGATGAAACCTACCGGTGCGGACCGGCAATCGGTTACTATTGCTATGATTTGTTTCCTATGAATAGCTATGAATTGTATCAATACTTATACATCGCGGGCAGTAATTACATACTATTAATGACATTGTTTTAATGTTTTTAAATATATATATTACACATTTTAACTGTATTTATAAAAGAGACATTAAAAATATTTTTACTGTAATATTTATAAAACATAACATGTACATTAATTGTATTACTTAATAAACATCACTCGTGTCACTCCACGCGTTTCCATATACGGACAGCCCTATTACGTGGCCTAACCTCACCCCCGGACACCATAAACTTCATGGTATATGTCAGGGGGTCGTGAGGTTTAACCAGTACAAGGCCGTCCTGTTTGCCAGTAAATAGGTCCTTGCTCCATGTACCAGGTCTAATTTGAACATGGTTCGAATTTTTAACATCCACATCATGTTTGACTTCTGTTAACCTTGGTGAATTTTCATCTTGCTCAATATCGTTATCAAATGCGATACTATTGCCGCCCTCAGCCCGGAAAAATAGCCCTGCGTATTTTGGTGTAACGTTTTCCCAGTTCAGTTTAGGCCATATTGTGTCCGGATCCAGTTGACCAGGGTATTGGACGTATATAAATCCAATAGGTACTTGTTCATCTTGAAGTTCAGCAATGTCCTTTTGTAGTAATTCGATGTACTGTTTGTTGTTGGTGATTTGTTGAAGTTGTTTATTATTGCCAAGGTTATTTTGGCTTTCAAGTTCATCAAGGCGAGTTTGTGTTTCATCAAGCAAATGACGTAGTTCATTTATGTGGCTACGTGATACTAGAAATACGGCTAGTATACTACCTAGTAAAAATTAATATAATAAAATAGATATGACATTAATAAGCTATCACGATGTTTACATATTTTATAAAGGTTAATTTTATTTAAAAACATACCTAGCACAATAACTGACACAATCATAGTAATGATAAAACATTTCATTTTTCCAATTATAAAAATACTAGACTCCAGGTCACCCGTCCACCGGTAGGGCTGCCGGTAGCCATCAACCTCGTCAGCACCGGTAGGTTTCATCATTAATTGCATGGCAGTACTGTCCGGCATGTGTGAACCCATTGTAAGTAATTGTATTAAAATATTTTAAAAATTAAATCAAAACTAACTATACTTTTTAAATGTCAGGCATTTAATGAGTTATTATTTATTTTGTAATTCAGTGTATTGTTTAATATATATATAAATATTTTTGTTATCTTAATACTTTAATTCACCATGGGTGATAGTGAGTAATATACCGTATTTTTTTTATTGTGCTTTATTTATTTAATTGATAACGTTGATTAACTACCGGTACAAAGATTGGAGTTACATCAATGATTTATTTAACACAGCAACAATAATATGATTACAAAACTATTTTTATAGTT